GGAGCGATTATAGAATACCCGGCCACTTTTGAATTTTGATAGTGTTTGCTTTTGGGGGATACGGGGATACGCAGTCATTAAAATGACGTAATTATTCGAGTAGTAGTTTAAGAGGAGAATTGGTAACTATTATTTTTCAATGATACGGGGATACGGGGATACGCAGTCATTAAAATGACGTAATTATTCGAGTAGTAGTTTAAGAGGAGAATTGGTAACTATTATTTTTCAATGATACGGGGATACGGGGATACGCAGTCATTAAAATGACGTAATTATTCGAGTAGTTTAAGAGGAGAATGGGTAACTATTATTTTTCAATGATACGGGGATATAGGGATACGCAGTCATTAAAATGACGTAATTATTCGAGTAGTTTAAAAGGAGAATGGGTAACTATTATTTTTCAATGATACGGGGATACGGGGATACGCAGTCATTAAAATGACGTAATTATTCGAGTAGTTTAAGAGGAGAATGGGTAACTGTTATTTTTCAATGATACGGGGATACGGGGATACGCAGTAACTAAAATGACGTAATTATTCGAGTAGTTTAAGAGGAGAATGGGTAACTATTATTTTTCAATGATACGGGGATACGGGGATACGCAGTCATTAAAATGACGTAATTATTTGAGTAGTTTAAAAGGAGAATGGGTAACTATTATTTTTCAATGATACGGGGATACGGGGATACGCAGTCATTAAAATGACGTAATTATTTGAGTAGTTTAAGAGGAGAATGGGTAACTATTATTTTTCAATGATAAGGGGATACGGGGATACGCAGTCATTAAAATGACGTAATTATTCGAGTAGTTTAAGAGGTTTTAAGAGGAGAATGCCGCGGGTAACTACTATTTTTTAATGATACGGGGATACGGGGATACGCAGTCATTAAAATGACGTAATTATTCGAGTAGTTTAAGAGGAGAATGGGTAACTATTATTTTTCAATGATACGGGGATATAGGGATACGCAGTCATTAAAATGACGTAATTATTCGAGTAGTTTAAAAGGAGAATGGGTAACTATTATTTTTCAATGATACGGGGATACGGGGATACGCAGTCATTAAAATGACGTAATTATTCGAGTAGTTTAAAAGGAGAATTGGTAACTATTATATTTCAATGATACGGGGATACGGGGATACGCAGTGAATAAAATGACGTAATTATTCGAGCAGTTTAAGAGGAGAATGGGTAACTATTATATTTCAATGATACGGGGATACGGGGATACGCAGTCATTAAAATGACGTAATTATTCGAGTAGTTTAAAAGGAGAATTGGTAACTATTATATTTCAATGATACGAGGATACGGGGATACGCAGTCATTAAAATGACGTAATTATTCGAGTAGTTTAAAAGGAGAATTGGTAACTATTATATTTCAATGATACGGGGATACGCAGTGAATAAAATGACGTAATTATTCGAGTAGTTTAAGAGGAGAATGGGTAACTATTATTTTTCAATGATACGGGGATACGGGGATACGCAGTCATTAAAATGACGTAATTATTCGAGTAGTTTAAAAGGAGAATTGGTAACTATTATATTTCAATGATACGGGGATACGCAGTGAATAAAATGACGTAATTATTCGAGTAGTTTAAAAGGAGAATTGGTGACTATTATATTTCAATGAAACGGGGGTGCGGTGATACGCAGTGAATAAAACGTCATGAAACGACAATTTATTTGGAAATCGGAATTGAAACAAATAGTTAGTTTTACGAGTATATTTAATGAAGAACGTATATTTATAATACATGGAACATTTATAATGTATTAAAGAACCTTAGAATATGTAATTCTTTATTACTCATTTGGCTGCTGCTCATTTAGGAAACCTTGGCGTATTAAAAGTTGCTTTATGTTCTGGGTTATGGCACTGTGACATTGACGGCTGTATTTTTCTTCGTATTGGTCTTGGGTGATGAGTGAGTTTGATGGCCATGCTTCATAAGTATCGGGTGATTTCTTTACAAATACTGATATTGGTTTAGGCACTCTTGCAACTCTTGCAGAGATGATTGTCCCATAAATGGGACAGAGCTGACGAACGGCAGAATCATATTCTGTTTGTGTGACACTCCTGACTGCTTTGGGTGAAGCTGACTGCTTGAACGCTCGGTACGAGAGCACTGGACCAGGGAAGAACAACGCTGAAACTTTAATTTGATACTGTGTCGGTTGCTTCCTTACTTGGTCGCAAGAATCTTCTGTCATTGATTTTATAAACTGAAAAATATAGTGATATATTTTATATAGGAATTGTTGTAATGTATTTACATTCGGCTACTCGACAGTGCATTGCCCTTGTGATTAATATACGAATGAAATGGGAAGCAAATACATGTATAAGGGTCTTATATAATAGGCTTGAAAAGTTGCGAGAAATTGCGGCCTGTTTTGAAGTTTTAAATCCTATCCGGAGCTGCTGCTGCCCATGCATGTAACATAATAACATTAATGACATAATAATAATAACAATTTGTTTGTAATCATCCTCAGGATTAATAATGATTATTAATCCTGAGGATGACCACATAATTATTACTAGTTGAAACGTCGATTAAAAATCAAAATGTTATTCGAAATTACAATAACACATTGCCTATTATTTATGTGGTATGTTATGGCAAAGCGACTAAATTAAATAGTGAGAAAATGGAACAAGGCGAGCTATAATAAGTCGCAAAAATATTTCTTTTTACCTGGCAAAGGGCATCTTTTTGAAGCTCTAGGTGTTCCACGAACTTGACCGCTCTTTCCAATGTTTGTTTGGATATCATTGTAGGGCATTGTTCTAATGGTTGTCCGTTTAGTAATGAGCTTGTGGCGTGGGTAAAGACATGGAGCGCCAACGCTATGCGGGGAACCAAATCGGACTTCTTGGATTTAGGCGGCATGACACCATCCAGTATTGCGGCATTTACATCAGCTGTGAATGACGAATTCATTTGTTGGAGAAGTCGAATTGCTTCTGCTTCGAAATTGTATTCTTCAGGGTTGTCTTGATGAATTTGTTGTAT